TCTTGGGTACCACTTAAGGGTTTAAACCTCATCTCCAAGTGGCTGAGAATGGCTCACCTTAGAGGTCTGTGTCCATTGGCCAGCTTGGGAAACGAATAACAGTCCTCTCCCACTCCCTTTCCTTCAGTACTCTGTCTAGAGTTTTCCCTAAAGAGGGAGTGAGAGAAGAGATGGTGACACCAGAGAAGAAGAATACAGCTGCACCCAGTGCCCTAAACAGTTACCAAGACGAAGCACTTAAGTTCATGCATCTAGGCTGAACTCTATCAACTTTCTCCACCCAGGAGGAGGGAGCCAGCCCAGAGTTTTTGTTGTGACTTTGAAGGGCCATACTTCCCAGCTGATCGCTGCCTTCTCACCCTGAAACTTTATGCTCTTAAACAGGAAGTAGAAGTCCCTGAGTGATACAAATAGTTACGTGTTTGGTTATTAATTGGAAGGTGGATGATTTGAGTCCACCCAGAGGCACCTTAGGAGTCCTGCTGTGGCTCTGTGGGATAATGCACTGACCCACAAGGTCAGTTTGAACCACAAGGTCGGCGGTTCATATTCACCAGTCCCTCCTTGGAAATTCTACAGAGGGTTGCTATGAGTCAGAACCGACTCAACAGGACTTAACAGCAACAACAGAGGTACCATGGAAGAAAGGCCTGGTGATCCACTTCCCCCAAAATCAGCCATTGACAATCCTATGGAGCACATTTTTACTCTGACACACATGAGTCTCCATGTATCAGAACTGACTTGATAGCAAACCGGTAACTGGCATACTAGGAATGGCATCCAGTTGTGCAGCTCATAAATCTAGATCTCTCTGCCAGTATTTAAGGAACTTTTGAATCTTCCTACCTTAAATGAACACTATTATAGCCAATTGTAACAAATATTCCCACTGGTTTTTTCTACTTGCAGTACGGTCCCTCCTACATGTCCATCTATAGAATACTGTCTTCCATGTCTGATAGGAGTCCTGGTGTGGCGTGGTGGGATAATGGCACAACAAGATAGTGTCACCATCTCTCTTCTCACTCCTCCTTAGGGAAAACCCTGGGCAGAATTCTAAAGGAAAGGGAGTCAGGGGGAGGCCTGGCCTGTTACTCTTTCCCCAAGCTAGCCAATGGACACCTACCTCTAAGGTGAACCATTCTCAGCTACTTGGAGATGAGGTTTAAACCCTTCAGTGGTGGTGGTGGTTATGTGCTGTGGAGTTGATTCTGACTCATAGCGACCCTGTACAGGGTTTCCAAGGCTGTAAATCTTTGTGGGAGCAGAAAACCTCATCTTCCTCTTGAGGAACAGCTGGTAGTTTTGAACTACTGCCCTTGTAGTTCGCAGCCCAATTCGTAACCACTGTGCTCAGTGGTACCCAAGACTAAAAGGTTGATATTCAGACTCGTCCATATAGCATATAAGCCTCTAACCACCTGATTTCGTGTGCCTTCATCTTGAACCCTAAGATCCAACCAAACTCAGCAATTGGCAGGCTACCACAGGTGCCATATGCCTTACACCTACAGACTCCTTGATGAAACTTGTTGTTAAGTGCTGTCAAGTCCACCTTGCTGGACTGCAAGGTGGGTTTGAACCTTGCAGCTGCTCCTTGGAAACTCTTTACAGGTCCGTATGAGTTGGACCGGACTCCACGGCACTTAACAACAACAACAATGACTGATAAACCCTCATTTCACTCGTGTATGTGTGTGTGTGTGTTTAAAACACTGCCTGTCCTCTCTGATATTTCCCTTTCCTTCCCTGGGAATCTGTTGCCGCTACAGGCAATAATTTCCTTTCACATCCTGCCTCCCCACATGTTAAATCTAATTCCTAGGATAGATTATAAAATCCTTGAGGGCAGGTAAGAGTCTTAAAAGCTGTACTTCTTAGTATTTATTAAGCATTCACTTGGGAACATAATAAATGCTTAATAAATATTTAGTGGTGGATGGATGAGTGATTTTGGAGGAGCCAGACCATGATAGGGGTCATTTGTGCCAAATCAGATACCAAGACAATGCTCATTTTCTGCAGACCAAGATCTTGGCTAGATGTTAAGTCTCGATTAATGGGGAGTTGCTGGGGAGCAAAGGTGCCAGAGGACATGAAAGGTCAGGACAGTAAGTGATGTTGAACCCTGATCCCAGTTTTGGCTGGACTGGCGACCTTGGTGATCCAGATTGATGAATTGTGTCCCGACATCTTCCATTAAAGAAGGCACTATGGTTCTGGTGCACTGGGCAAAAAAAAACAAAAAACGTTAGACAGGATCAAAGCCAGTGAAATTCATTCTTTGGATTTACAGCAACTGTGGAGTCATCCTGCATTACTGAAATTACAGACACCAACTGACCTGCTGGGAAGAGAATTTGGGATCCATTTTGAACTTCAAAAAGTTTCTGCCTGGAAATGGAAAGGGGTAACCATGGCAACCAGAAGGCAGGATGAACTCAGGGAGGACTCTTCATGTGAGCAGGGAGTTTTGTGCTCTCAGATTTGCTGCTCTGCACACCGGTTTTTCAATCCCTTTGTCTCTTTTGCTTTCTTTGAGAAATAGGATTAAGTACTAGCTTCAGAATTTGGGGATCTGACTCAAGTCTCTGCTGTTTTAGTGAACCTTAGGGCACTGGTGTTTTGTTGTCGGCAAAATGGAAATTAAAAACACTTCTGACCTCTTCACAGGGAGTTAGAAAGGATGAGAAGATTTTAGAAAGCCTTAGCAGGCTCCCCTTATGGTTAGGATTATTGTTGTGATTAGACCATGTGTAGGCTGGTTGGAACGTGGGGCTATTGAGGACAAGAGTGTGGGTGCCATTCTTCCTTAAACGTGTTTTCATTGCATGAAGGAAAGCTGTCCCACAGACAACACTCCACCAGGGCACCTGTATTCTAAAATCCTGCCTTGGGGTATGAGCAGGACCAGGTGAAACAACAACCCCTCACTTCAGCTGAAAGTCCTGCTGATGGAGGTGGGGAGGGTGGCTCCACAGAGTGGTTGATGGCTGGAGGCTTTGCTGAAACAACTGCCTGCTTGCACATCATCCCCCCACTTGCCTCCCATAGCCACCTCTCTGCCTCACACCAATCCAGCCTTGCACGTGTGAGAGAGAAAGAACAAGAACCAAGGTTGGCAAGACAGGGGTGAGGGAGAGATGAGGTGTCTGAGACAGTACTGCTCATGTGAGAAGCCATTGCTAGACTTGACTCTGGGCTCTACTAATCCACCAGAAGGTTTGGGAAGGATTGTAGCTCTTTACAGTTTATTATGCTTTCTGGGTCATCCTCTGCTGACTGGTTTAACAAGGGAATCTGCTTTAACAAAGGACAGTTTTTTCCTTTCCTGCTTTTCTTGGTCAGCTTTCTCATTGAGATTTCACCGGTAGGGGATCTCTTCTGCCCTTTTCTCTTTTTCATTAATGCTGTACATCCAGGAAAATAGAGCAAGCATTACTGACAAGTGGTAATTTGTAGTTCCCTTTATGAAATAAACACTTAAATTCCAAGAGATACAAAACCCCACTATTATTACTGTCTTGCCATCCCTGTAAATTCCTCTTTGAGAATGGCCTTTGGCAGAAGGGAGTGGCCTTGCTTAGTTAGGCCATCATTTGGGGCAGCTGCATGTAATGAGTGGCTGATGTCAGGGTACGTGGCCTGCTCCCGTGCCTTAATGGGAGACACCTGGGAAGGGCGCTTCCAGCTCCAGAGGATCCCATGGGACCAGCTGCATTCTCTGTTGCTATGGCATGGAGTTCAACCTAGCTTCCTTCACTCTCTCAGAAAGCTCTCTTCAGTGAGGCTGTGCGCTAAGTCTCTGCCTCAGGGTCTGTTTCTCAGGGACTTCGATATGAAGACAGAAGTATTACTTTAGTTAATCTTTACAACTACCTTATGAAATCATAGTTCCTGTCTTAGGGATGAGAAAACTGAGAAATGCAAAGGTTAAAAATTTGTTCACTATCTCCCATCAGTCATTGGTGAGGCCGTGATTTGACACTCATAGACCACGTGCTTTTAATTGTTCATGAAGACTCTTAATGCCCTTCCCGTTGGTGACCATCCGGAGGCTGTAACATCGTTATGGGTTAGGTGTGATGAGGAGAGAGGAAGAGATGGGGACACTGAGCTAGCAACTCCTTAAACCCAGGATAATTTAATAGTTGAGAGGAATGTGATTGCTTTTTCTTAACAGTGGAAAAGATATGTTAAAATTGTTTTTTGATTCTGGCGCCAACACTTAATTATGTAATTTGGAGGAGATTACTGAACTCTTGGTAGAAGTGCTTGGCACTTGTGGGTACTCCCTAAAGTGGTTCCCCTTCCCAAAATGCTGATTATTTTCAGGAGAAAAGGAGAAGAGGCCCGAGATTTATTGTGTACTTGGGCAAGTTTCTAGAATCCTTAATTTCCTCTGTTAAACGGAGATGATGGTGATACAGGGTCCCTGCCGCCCCCCCTCCCCGCCCCCAACACAGAAAAGAGTAGTTATCAGCATGATCACGATGCCGTCTCGCCCGTGTTAACACGCCATACCCTTGACTTTCAGGACCATACAGACTCAGACTTTCCGGTGACCTACACCTGTGTCTCCCCGACCCACTACCGTCCCACGCAAACTCTCTTGACACTACTGAGTTGGCGCCCTGCTTTTGCTAGATGTCGGCAGGTTTACGTGTGTGTGTGGTTCCTTCTGCACTGTGCCTGCGCCTCTCAGCTCTGTGTTATTTGTTTGCCTCCTCCTCCACCCAGAGGGGGCGCAGCGCCTCGTGGACCAGCCTCGGGCTCGGAGTGTGAGCGCAGTCCCGCGGCAGGCGCAGAGCAGGCCACACGGCCGCCCCCCCGCCCCAACCTCGCAGCGCCCAGCCCCGTGCTCCGATTGGTCACAGGAGCGCGGCTCCGCCCCCGTCAACTGCGAAGAAATAAAAGCCGCCGTAGCGCCAGCACTGCTAGTGTAGTGTGTTAAACTCTAATCCTCCGAAACTGGACCTACTGTCACTCTCGCCACCGTTCTTCTCACGACGTGCTGCCCTTCGCCCACAGCCATGTGCCGGACCCTGTCTACCTTCCCCACCACCTGCTTGGAGAGGTAAGTGGAGCTTATCCCGTGGAGCTTGGCATCTACCGGGAGGAAAAAGTACAAGTCCCTCCAACTTTTAGTGGGTGAAGCGGTAACCCTGGAGTGGGCAGAGGACTGGGGCGCTAGTAACTCAAGTGGGGAGGCTAACTTGGATGCTGCCTGCTCAGAGGCTTCCCACAGACGTAAGAGAAGCGACAGGCCAGGAGAAGAGGAAAACAGCAGTCCTCCAGTGACCTGCTAAAGACCCCACGTAGGAAGACATCGGTGGCAGAACTGAGTTCACCCAGTTTCTTAAGCATTTGGTTTTCACTGTACGGCCCAGAGTTAGGGTGTGACCTCCTTGGCCCCTGGAAAGGCCCCAAGGCCATTGCTGTCCAGTCGATTGACTGACCCTATAGGATGAGTAGAACTGCCTCATAGGGTTTTCAAGGTTGTAATCTTGGAGTCCTGATGTGGGGCTGTCGGATAAGCACTTGTCCGTAGAGTCAGCGGTTCAAACTCTCCAGCTACTCCTCGGAAACTCTAATCAGAGTTGCTATGAGTCAGAACAGACTCCATGACACTTAACAACAGCAATCTTAAGGGAAGCAGGCACAGCTGGTGGGTTCAGCTATTGAGCAGCCTGACATGTATCCACTGCACTACCACGAGGCTCCATCCCGAGAAAGCAGAGAGATGCTTTCTCATCCCCCAAGGATGAGAGTGTGTCCAGTTCCCGGGGAGCTACTCAGAAGTTTCTAGTCCTCACTGGGGCTTGTGTCTGGGGAGGAGAGGACAAAGATGAAGGCAGGAATCAGTTTCCACACAGATTCAGAAACACAAGCCAAGAGGGGTTGAGCTTCCATCTGCTAGGTTACGGGCATAAAGATAAATCAATGTGTCTTAGGAAAAACTGACTTGTCTCTGCAATGCTGTAAACCCAGATGATAATGTTTAAGACCTACCAGCCACTCAAAGATGGGTTTCTTTATATTGCTGATTGATGACACATGAGAGAGGACAAAGTTTAGGCTTGGGTACAGTCAAGAGTTCACTTGAACTTCTGAGGTCAGAGTTTAGGTGGTATCAGCGGGACTGTCCTGGGATCCCACAGGCTTCTCCATACTGGCTGAATGAATGGAGAATTGTTACAGATCCCTGCTTTATCTTCCAGAGCAAAGGAGTTCAAGACACGTCTGGGGATCTTGCTTCACAAATCCGAGTTGGGCTCCAATACTGGGAATGCTGGCAAATTGGAGTGGGGCAGTAAACACAGCAAAGAGAGGTAAGTTCTGCTGACCAGCCAAAGGTCCCTCATGGGAAGGAAGCCAGATGTAGGAAAGGAGTCATGAGAAGGAATAATGGGAGGAGGAGAAACCAGGGCGAGCTGAGGTGGACCTTGGCAACCCCTACCTGAGGTTTTTAGTGGGACTCATTGCTTATCTGCCAGGTCTTCTTGGTTTCTGGGTGACTGGGTAGGAGGTGTCGGTTCTAAGTCCACTAACAGATGTGCATTGCATATGCAGTGAGGACTAGGACAGGGTCAAGCCCACTACTGCCATCTGCTTACACCTTGCTTAAAAGTCCTTTCATTTTAAATATCAGCACCTGTCCCTGGCACTGCATTAGACTCTGGGGTTCTGGGTAGACAGTCTCTATGCATGAGACCTTGATTTCCTTGGAAAGGTGTACAAAACCAAGCTCTGAGAGTGGGAGAAAAGAAACAATTTTGGATGTTGGCTGAGGGTCAAAGGTCCCTGACTCTGGTTTCTGGCTACTGAATGTCCTACAGAAAAATACCACTGCCCCCACCCCCAATCTCAACCAGGGGCTGGAGGAGTCCACCTCAGTGATCAATGAGCAAGCCATATGTGAATGATATAACTTCCTTTCAGAGTTCTGCCTAGGATGTATGTTAGGCATTTGTTTATTTAAAACATTTTTAAATCTTGATTTTTTTTTTTTTTTCTTATTTTAGCAAAAACTTCTCTGAAGATGTGCTTGGGTGGAAAGAGTCTTTCGACTTGCTGCTGAGCAGTAAAAGTGAGTATGACCCTGTGGTGTCTGTCTGTGGCTGGCACGTGTGGACTTATGTGCTTAGCAGCCAGCCGGAGGGATGCTGAATGCGTGGGCCAAGTGATAGTTGTAGTAATAATAGTAATGATCCCCTAGTGAGCCAGCCTTTACTCAGAATACAAAGGCAGGCCCTTGTTCAGGAAAATGACATCCTAAAAATAGAGCCATTATCTGTAGTTGCTGCCTTTTTTTCTTTTATTCCTATCTATCCCCCGGTCTGACCTGCCCCCCTCTCTCCCCTCTGCAACCACAGATGGAGTGGCTGCCTTCCATACATTCCTGAAGACGGAGTTCAGCGAGGAGAACCTGGAGTTCTGGCTGGCCTGTGAGGAGTTCAAGAAGATCCGTTCGGCTACCAAGCTGGCTTCCAGGGCTCACAGGATCTTTGAGGAGTTCATTTGCAGTGAAGCTCCTAAAGAGGTTAGAGTCTTCACTTGTTCTATGGGCCCTCCAGACCCCATCCCTTCCAAAATCAAGGTTCCCCAAGGGCCAGGAGATCAAGGATTGGATTTAGAAGCAGAGTGGCTGTATTTGGCACAGTGACGAGTGGGCTTCTGTAGTTGGATACTTGGGACACCAAACTCCTTCCTACCCCTGGGTGGTGGGACCCACAGATTTGTATGGGGTAAGATAGGCTGGAAGGTTTTTGGACTTCTGTCCATCCTCACTTATGTAAACCCTGTCCATCCCCACTTAAGTAGACTCAGCACACACAACTAGGGAGACCAAGTTATCATAGGGATCTTACGTAACCTGGTACAGCCCCCTGGTCTACCTGGCGCAGGTCAGCAGGCCTGGGATTAGTGAACTTTTTCTGGGTAGCTTCCTATCAGCCCTCTCTGTGTTTCAGGTGGCACATTTGATAAAGAACATGGGGCCACCTTGTGGAGAGATCATAGTAATGTCTGCTTTTGGATCCTAATGTTTAGTTTATGAGCACTCTTATTTTTTTTTTCTTTTCTGGAGTTCTTGGGTGGTGCAAATGGTTAATGGACTAAATGAAAGTTTGGTGGCTCTAGGCCACCCAGAAGTACCTTGGAAGAAAGGTCTGACGATGTAGTTCAAGAAAATCAGTCATTGAGAACCCCATGGAACACAGTTCTACCCTGATCATACAGAGGGTTGCTATAGGTTTGAATAGACTCTGTGGCAAATGGTAATGATTAATTTATTAAACGGTCTGATGATGACCTTGAATAAGCGGTTGGCGAGTTTAAACTGCTGGCCTTGTGGTCCAGTGCTTACCCTACAGCACCATACCAGTTATTTGACGTCAACTTGCTTCTGACTGTTGACCACTGGTTGTATGCTGAGTAGCTCTGTGCTCCACAGGGTTTCCAGGTTGTGACCTTTAGAAGCAGATCATCAGGCCTGTCTTCTGACTTTGTGGGTTCCACCCACCAACCTTCTGGCTCATGCTTAAAGTGCTTAACTGTTTGTGCCAACCAGGGACTCCATGTATCCTTTAATTTTTTACATATACTTATACTTACTTTGTTGTTGTTGATTGCATACACTCTGTCTCTGTAACCATCCTGAGATTGGAGGGCAGACACTGAATCCTCCATGTGGGGCTAGACACAAGTTCAAAAGCCAGTTCAGGATAAACTCAGAATCAGATTTGCTGATTCACCACTCACTGCCCTTTTTCTCTTGCCCACCTGCCTGTCTTTCCTCAGTCAGCTGACCCCTCAGCCTCCCCACTCACCTGTGTGTTTGCTTGTCTTTCCACAGGTGAACATAGACCATGAAACCAGGGAGCTCACAAGAACAAACCTGCAGGCTGCCACAGCCACATGCTTTGATTTGGCTCAGGGGAAGACTCGTATCCTGATGGAGAAGGATTCCTACCCACGCTTCCTCAAGTCCCCTGCTTACCGGGACCTGGCCGCCCAAGCCACAGCCTCCTCAGCCTCCCCGTGCAACTGCAGCCTGGCAGAACCTTTATGCACCTGAGCCTCCATGGCAGCGAGGAAGCCAGCCGGGAAGAGAGGTGAACTCACCTGTCCCTGAGACTGCAGGCCCTAGGTGGGAGGTCGGTTCTGCAAAGCAAATGCCAGAGGGCAGTGAAGCACAAAGGCGAACCAGCAGCCTGATCTGGAAGACACACCTTCTTCCCCAGAGACTGTGGGACTACCTTCCAGCATGAGAGGGCACCCCACTTCCAGGACCTGTGCTAAGGACTGAAAAGGGAAAGAAGAGAGTAGTACAAGAGTTACCCTTGGTTCTCACTAGGACAAGGAGGCATTACCAGGTGGGTTGGGTAAAGGGAAACTTAACAGATGGGATGTGGAAAGGCACCCAGGTTGGTTGATGGCAGCCTGCTTTCCTGATTCTGTTCTGGGCACAGAAGGAAGCAAGAGTGTGTAGCTATCCCATTCTGCTCCCCTCACCTGCTTCTGGGCCTCGCAATCTGGGTCTTCATGGATGTTCAGCCTGTTAGGAAGGCCAGTAGCCACATGTGACTCTTGTTTTTTATTTTAAGTCCTTTTTTATTTATTTTGTGTCCCTTTCCAAAGTAGTAGGGAACCCTGAAAAGGGGCCGGCCATCTTGCTCCTGTGAAGTGCATCTTGGTATTCTGGGTGACCGCTTGCAGGTGGACTTGCAGTGAAGCCAACCTGTGAGGAAGCCTGCCCAGAGGTATCCTCTGTTAGCTCTCCGCCTTGGAGCTGGGACCCATGAGGAGGAAAGTGTGAGGTCTCTGGGTGAGCAGCCAGTCCCAACTCCTGTGCCCAGCAGGCTGTGATGGCCTCAACTTCTGAACACACCTGGGTTTTGGGAATTGGTGTTAGGGGGAGCCAAGGACCCAATAGCTAATTTTGGGATCCTAAGGACATCTGCCTACCCATGACCCATAGCCCTCCTTGCAGTGTGGAATGAGGGAGGAGAGGATCAGAAGAAACAAATCTCCCATTGGCAGGTCTGGAAAGTTGAGACCTGTTTTCTGAGAGTATGAGCACAGGATGAAGGGCAGGCGAGCAGCCCGGGTGTTTCCTATGGAGGTGGATGCTGACACTGCGGGTGCTGGGAGAGAGGGCACCTGGACCACACTGGCCCTTGGACAGAACTTATTTTAAGTGGGTGTGGAAGTTGGGGAGAGGCTCCTTGGAAAGGCAGGACTAGGTTGGGGATGGGTCAGAACCTGCTGCTTGTCACCTCATGGTACCACTGAACAAACATTCTGCATAAGAACCCAGGCGGGGGAGGAGAATGAACCTTTCCACCCCAGCATCATCAATACTGTTTCCACTGCACTGTGAGATCCTCCTGGAGGAAATATTTAAATACAATGTAGTGTTGGTTTTGTGACTATTGTCATTGCATGTTGTTACTGTTATCATTGTTGGTGTTATACTATTGTTATTTATTGTTGAGTTCATTCTGCCTTTACTGGAGACTCAGTAGTTGTTGGCAGCCTGAGTTTCTCCCTCTCTCCACTGGACTCTACCTCTGAACCTGCTGGGACTCCTTGGAGCCTGTCAGGAGGAATGCCTCTGTTTTAAATATTTATTTATTGACAAATGGAGCTGGTTTCCTGGATTATGAATGATATACTCGATCCCTGTTTTCCTGTTTCAGCATGTAATATTGTACAATAAAAACAGAACTCAGACTATGAGACTGTGTCTCCGTTGGTTGTATCTGGTGAAAGTGGGGAAGGGAAAGTGATGTGGACAGTCTACTCTGACTGAACCGGCTTCCGGAAATTCCACAGGGCAGACGGGTGCTCTGTGAGCTCCACCCTCACCCGGTAGAGGCATAAGAGAATGACCAGCATTTACCTGGTAACTAGAAGAATGGAAGAGGAGGAGACATGCTCTAATGGTCACAGTGAGTGGGGACTTCCTTTAGCTAAAGACAGCCCTAAAATGATGGAACCAAACCCAGCCTGATGTCGTTTCCAAATCTATATCCTCTGTCCACCTGATCTGGACTTGGGATAAACTCAAATCTGCTGCCATCAAGTTGATTCTGACTCTGACCCTCACAGGACACTAGAACTGCCCCATTGTGTTTCCAAGGTTGTAAATCTTAATAGAAGCCAACTGTCCCATCGTTCTCCTGTGGGTGGTTGATGAATTTGAACTTCTGGCCTTTCTGTTAGCAGTCTAGTGCTCAACAGCTGAGTGCCACCAGGACTCTCTCCCCACTCTATCCCTTGACCCATCTCTCACTCTCTGAAGCTTTTATTGTGAATTAAGTGAGTTTACAGGACAGATTACCAGTTTTACATTCAGCAAATCATTGCAATGATTACAATCCCCTACATGCACACTTAGCCAACAGTATTTACCTTTTTAATTACCTTTTTTCCTTTTTGATGCACACATGTCCTTAGGTGCCATCGAGTCAGCATCAACTCATAGCAACCTTATGCATAACAGAACGCAACACTGCCCGATCCTGGACCAACCTCATTATTGTTGCCACTCTTGAGCCCATTGATGCTGCCACTTTGCCAATCCATCTCACTGGGGGTCTTCCTCTTTTTCTCTGACTCTCGACCTTACCAAACATGGTATCCTTCTCCAGCGACTGGTCCCTTTGACAATATGTCCGAAGTATGAGAGAAAAAGTTTGGCCATCCTGACCTCCAAGGAGCAAGTACTCTGGCTCCCCTTCTTTTACAAAGACCTGTTGGTTCTTTTGGCAGCCCATGGCACTTTCAGTATTCCCTCCAACACCATAACTCAAAAGCATCAATTCTTCTATGGTCTTATGTGTTGATGTACATATACCACATTGTAAATATATATTCATTGAAATGCCCAAAGGACACATTTTGCAAGCCAGCCTCCTGCCCGCAGGCACACTGCCTTTCTCAGTCCGTGGGCCTATAGTCCTCTGCTGCTGTCTCTATGCCAACATCTACACTTCTGCCAACATCTCTGTTGTCCCCTCTCTTCTGGTTAGGATCCCACGCTCCACTCATGTTCTTCCCTCTTGATGGTCCTAGGGTCCCTTGTTCCTGAAATGACAGAATTAACTGCTTCCCCCTTTTAGTTACACCTCTTCAACATTTACAGTTGTGACAATCACCATTACACCTGAAAACAATTACTCGCAATTGAATCATAAAATACCCAACTGGACAAGAGGAAACCTATTCAGTAGGGTTTCAATCTTAACTCCCATGGTTCTGACACTAAGCATCCTCATGAAATCTTGTAAGCCGGTCACTTCATGCTTTAATAGCCCCCCAGTTTTGATTGCTGAAGTTGACTCATCTCTTGAAGACTGACCTCCTCGCCATAGTATAACCAGCTTACTCCTGCACCAGCTGCTCTCGACATGCTCCTGCCTTTGGAAATTTGTGTTCCTCATCCACATATATTGTGGGGCTTCTTGATATAAAGTTGAATCGATGGCAACTGGCTAGCCCAGAAGTGACAAGAGAAAAGAATGGGACCAATGAACTTCCAATGACAGGCTAGTGCCTGCAGACCCCCTCAATCCAGGAAGACCATCCTCAAGGTTTGTTCCCAGCTAACCTCTCAGTCAACTAGCCTCCCCTTTCACATTCAGAGTGAGTTCAGAATCAGTGGTGTGCCTGAACGTGGTAAGTACATAAAGAGAAATTAAGAACACTCTTCTTTGAACCATAATCTCCCAGGTGTCAGGTTAAAACAGTTTCGTACTATTTTGGCTTTCAAAGAGTCTAAGTGATTACTGAAGAACACACAGCTACCAAGTGTCTCCAATACCTTCAGTGGCACTGGCTCTGTGCCTTCTCCCTGAGCACTTTGTGAGCTGGCTTCTGATGGTCTTTCTAGCCTGCACATGCCACTGGCCCTCCTCCCCCTTAAAACAAGTTTTTGAACAGAAGAAAAAGCAGAGTCAGGAGAAAGGGGAGGAAATGGAGTCCCTGGCTAACTGTCTCCAGAAACAACTGCTTTTTCCCAGGAAATCAGAATTGGATGATGTCTGGCTAACATTACTGAATGTTTTCAAATATTCCATAGAAGAGTCAAAAGGGGGAAAAATGTGGACAGAACTTCAAATTTTCATGGGCTCTATCTAGACTTTCTGGAGCCAGTGAGCCATAATGACGCCCTGAAATGATTTTTCTGAGATCATCTTTAAACCTTAAACCAGAAATATTCCCTGAAATCTTCTCTAAACCAAACAATGGTATTGTTAGGTGTCATCAAGTCAGTTCCAGCTCACAGTGACCTTATGTACAACAGAATGAAACACAGCTCAGTCTTACACCTGCCTCACAATCGTTCATTGTCTGAACTCATTGTTGCAACTACTGTGTCGATTCATCTAGCTGAGGGTCGTCTTCTTTTTTTTTTTTGGCTGACCCTCTACCAAGCATGATGTCCTTCTCCAGGGATCAGTCCCTCCTAATAACGTGTCTTAAATACATAAGACAAAGTCTTGCTAAACAATACCCAAAAAAACCAAATGGTAGTGTAGCTTAATTACTAAAGAATGTCTGCTTTGAGCACTGTGCTATTTTGAAGATATCTCTACAGGATCAAATTGACCACAGCAACTAGAAAGATTCAACAAGAGGCTTGGGGGCAGAGAGTTTACGTCAATGGCGGAGGAACAATGTGGAAAGGGAGGATGAGAAAGGTTCATAACTCACAGGCTTTGATGAACATCACTGAACTATACACGTAGAAATCGTTCAATTGATGTGCATTCTGATGTGTATATTTTCAACAACAGTGAAATAAAATAAGATCTTAAACAAAATCCTGGAAGCCTTTGGCAGTTTCCAAATTTCCCCTATTGTTTCAAGCTTCCTGACTTTTGTATACTTATCCTCCCTGCTGTGATTCCTATTCTCATTCATCTAATGATTTCTACCCAACATCTCCTTTACCAGGGTAAGGATGCAGCTTCCAAAATCTGCTCCCAAGTCTTTTTGAAAGCCTTCCCTGATCCTTAGGATCTGATATGATACCTTCCCCTCATGTTTTGCTACTGCACGTAGCAACCAGTGGTCAAGCCAGCTCCAGGTCAGGGCGGCCCTATGTGTTACAGTGTAGATCTGATTTTTCAGAAGTAGATCTCCAGGGCTTTCTTCTGAGGTCCATTTATCTGGGT